ACAGAAATCAATACATTTCACAAATATTCACAAAGAAACAGCAAGTAAAACATTGACTTACATTTTTAAACTGGAAAGACTTAAAACATACTTTGATAATCTTTTATTTAGTCTTTTATTATACTTTTTTTCACAGTGTGTTTCACCAAAAATGAAAATTCTGTCATAATTTACTGATCCTCATGTCATTCCAAAGCCATAAGACTTTAATTCATTTTATAAACACAAATGAAGTTATTTTAATAAAACCTGAGGGATTTCTGTGTCCACTCAAGTCGATGCACCCAAAACTTTGACTGTTCAAAAAGTGCATGAATCTTAGTTTTCTAAAGATGCATGATTACTTTATATGATGGAGACATTTAATTTAGGCTTTTATTCAACATTGATCAAAGTACAAACGTAGATCACATCAAATATGGTAAACAGAATCTCAAAATATATTTTATGCAGACTGAGGCTCTTAAACTGCTGTACAGTTTCTAATAGTGAGTGAAGTTTAGCTCAGCTGACATATGCCTGTCTCACTTCGCTAACCCAGAGCATCGGGACACACCATGAGTGCAGCATTACGACATATGGATTCTTAGATGAAACATTCAAGCCTTTGCCCACTGTTTTTCTGCTTTTAGCAGCACAAGTGTTGTAAAATTTAAAGGGTGGCACTTTTAGAGCCAACTAGTGAATGCTGGTGCTTATGGACACGAGTATGAGCAGAGATGTAAACTTGAGTCTAGTGTCGTACAACTGAATATATCTAGATGTGCACATGAAGTCTATTCCATCTTGTTTTGAATTTCATGCTAACAATAATCATGCCATACAAATCTGGTGATTATTGGCTAATCTGGATCAACCAAGTCAATGGAAAACCTGGTTTTGTATTTGGGACCAAAAGAGAACTTGACTTGGACTTCGCCTTATGATTTGATACCTGACTTGACTTGAATTGGAAAATGTATTGGAAAGTGTGAATTTGTTCATGTTGGCACTCGAAAGGGCCTTGAATGTCACCTCCTAATCATCTAATGATGGTGCAAATGCTAATGAGTGGCGCAGTACAAATGAAACATGACAGGAGTGTCGCTGTACACAAGGGACCGTGGTGTTCGCTGCCTCATTCCTCTTTGTTCTGCAGGGCATTCCCTGTCAGAGCTGCTATCTGTCTGTCAGGATGCTTAGGAGCATGCCAGTGTGCTCGATTTCAGACAGACAGAGGGAGACACACCTGCTGTCTTGGGGAATGTGTCAGAATGGGTTTCTCACTGAAGAAATATCACAGCTGGTGTCTCCTTTGAGACATCATGCAAATTGTGGATGACAAGCCCACCTATTCCTGTTTCTCAGACTCAGACTGGCGGTTAAAGATTCAGGCTGGAGGCCAAAAGGCTGGAGGTTTGAACCCAGTAAGGGCTTATTTATGAGACACTTGACGCAAGGTTACTTCATGGGGACAGAACCTGTAATATGTCGTCGTCTTCTAAATGTCTTCTTATAATTGTTTAATCTTAAAGAAATAGTTCAGTTCACTCTTATGTATTTCCAAACCCACATGACTTTCTTCTGTCTGTCAAAAACATCAGTATATTGTCCCATGTGCTTGTTTCCATACAATGCATGGGAATGGAGATTGACACCTAATTATAATTCACAATGATGAATTTCATACATCTCAAACCATCTTCAACACATTTCCCAGCATCAACAAGAGCTTAAACCACATGCAAGTACTTTAACCATTGTTTTAAAGAGCTCATATTCCAGCACTGGATCGCTATTAAATGCACATGCAGCTCTTCCTCTAATGAGTCTCGACCTTGCTTGTCAGTGGTCCCAGGAGAAACAGAACATCCCCAAAATATAATTTGAGTTGTAATAGGATTTTAATCAAGCTTTTAATCTATTATCGGCCCCACCACCGCCCCCACCCTTGTTTTCCGGTGGCAACCCACGATGTCAGAAAGCGTTTCCACGCTTCACTTTGGATGTGAACTGTGCCGGAGCGAGTCGAGCAAAGCTGTTAAATACAGCCAAGCCCAACTCCAAATCTTTAATGCAGCAGAATTTAGCCCCTAATTAAACCTTAATATCATGTCAATTCAAATTAGCACGGCTAGAGGCGAGCGGAGCACCACTTCTGCCTTTTTTCTTTTTCTTTTTCATTTTTCTCTCCCTCGCTCTCCCGGGAAAAGGGAATACAAAGAGGAGAGAAATGTCAGCAGGGAATGACGTGATAGATTAGAAATATTAAGGTCCATTAAATGGAAGTGTGTGTGCTGAGCGGAGCAGTTAAATGTGCGCTGTGACCCTGAGGGTTGCTGACATTCCTGCTGTTCACCCAGACTGTCTCAAATCACACACACACTCTCTCTGCCTCATTTTGCCTCAGCTGCTGGTGTTCTCGTGCCCTGTACAGGAGCAGAGGGTGGTCCTTCCAACCAGGGAAGGATGAGTTTAATTTCATCATCACAGTCATATAATTTGTTGGGAAGATTCAATTCCAGTAGTAACTCAAGCCTCAGCAAAGAAGTCACATGTTATGTTGGCTCACATCAACATAAAGGCTGGTCCACAATGCAGCTTATTCTGGCCAAGAATTGGCCACTTAAGGTGATTGCAAGCTAGGATTTGTGCTCTGAGAATTCTGCCAAGCCATTGACTTTCAAATAGGATAGGCTTCATCATGCATCCAAAAGTTTAGCCCCCGGTTTCACAGACATGGCTTACGACTAAAATACATGTCTGGGCTGTTTTAACTGAAAGAAACATGCACTGACATATATTTAAATATTTGATTTGTCTCAAGATGCTCACCAGTAATTTTTTTTATAAGGCACGTTTATAAAAGCTGCTTAAATGTCCTAATTGAACTATGGCTTAATCCTGGCTTAATCTAAGCCATGTCTGTGAAATCAGGCCTAGATATTTGAACTTCTGTTGTAACATACTCTGACAAAGGAAACTTGACCAGTGAGAATTTCAGACAATCAGTTTTCATACTGACTCGCCTCTTTCCATGCCCGCAAGTCTGATTCCTTTTATAGACAACTTTGACTTTGGAGTCGCTAGGCTTTCAGGCCCCCTTGTGTGGTTTAAAAGGTGGTTACCATTTTGAGCTCTGGTCCTTCTGTGCTAAGTTCCACCTTTCCCGACATCCCTGCTTCAGTCGCTGTCAAAACTTTTTGACAGATGGCAATTTAAAGTAAAATAGTAAACAGCAATTGTTTGCAATTCAACAGAGTTGATCAGAATTTAACTTGCTAATATGCAGCGACACAATACGGTGGAGCTCACATAGTCTGCCTCCTGATTGGCTGGATGAGTGGTTCCCAAACATGTTTCTGGACCCCCCCCAACACTGCACATTTTGCATATCTCCTTTGCCTGAAACACCTATTTCAGGTCTTTGAGTCTCTACTGATGAGCTGACGAGTTGAATCAAGTGTCTTTGATTAAGGAGACATGAAAAAAAAATTTTTTGGGGGTACTTCAGGAACAGAGATTGGAACCACTGGGCTGGATAATGCAACAAATAGGAATGCCTGCTAGCAGTCAGCAATGCAGCTACTTGGTGACCTGCTTTCAGTGTAAATTCATTTGAAGTCACCCAATATAGTCCAAACCTATCCACCTTGAATCCCTAAAATTGTGTAGAAGCAAAGCAGTCAGATTGGAACCGGTGAGTTTTTGGGCACTATACATCAGGCACTGAACATACTGGCTTAAGCTGAGACTGTATACTACCAGCCCAACAATGTTCAGCAGGCCCACATTGCCACTGTAGACAGCAGCAGACGCCACAGGTGTAACACACTGAAACTCGACAAATGTGTCTGTTGCCATTTGTTGGTGCAATGTGAATCGCCCTTTGGAAGTGACACTGATGATCATCAGTCATACATAACTATTTGTTGGTGATAAAACAGAGACTACCAATAGGAATGCAGACATTGGAGTTCACGTGATCTGCTTTCTGTTCTGTTGGGTACTCCAAAGAATAAGAGTGTGGAGAAAACCAAATCACCTTGAGCACTCTCTAGCCACTCTGTACGGTAATTTTTCATGCCAGTAAAAGAGATAGTCTATCTTGCTTTCAAAGAATACTTGAGTGCTGAGCTAGTTACTTTTAGGGGACTTGCCATTTTGCGCATGTATTTCGTCCAACGTCTCTTACGTCACACTTAATTCAGGGACAATCCCTGCTGGAGCGTTTTGGAGTTAAGAGTCTCGCTCAAGAACACAATTATTACACAGCAAGATTCTCATCTCAGTAAAACAACGTCCCACAACCCCAGTTTCAGCAGTGACTCATGATCAGGATTAAAGTGCCCTTATTATGGATTTTTGAAAATTACCTTTCATGCAGTGTGTAACATAACTCTAAGTGAATGAAAACATCCTGCAAAGTTTTAAATCTGAAAGTGCACCGTGTATAAAGTTATTGTCTCTTAAAAGAAAGAGTCGACTCTGAATCATTGAAATGAGTCATTGTTAAAACGAATCCCAAGCCATGATGTCAACATGAAACATTAGCATATTGCCCGCCAACTTGCTGGTCTTTTCACGTTGGTCTGAATGAACATGCAAATTAATTTTTTGCCACTATGTGCCGCTTTTGGAGGTAAAACGTCTCAGGTTACTTATGTAACCATGGTTCCCTAAACGAATCGTTTGGGAGTCGTTGAGCAAATAAGGTTAAATATAAATGCATATTATAAGACAATGAAAGTGTTTTTTGACCTTGCATGCATGTCAGCCTTTTGTTGGGGACTCCCAAAACCAAAATATGAACCTTTCATTACCCATAATAGGGGCACTTTAAATCGGTGTCCTTCACCTTTGCTACAGAACAGTCTGTATAGGTATCTTACGTGCACTTCATGAAAACCATGTGCGTTTGTTCAGGATGATATTTTTGGCATTGAGGTGTTAATTAGTGATTGGAGCATGTTTGATGTGTGTGTGAGAGGTTTTGTTGACAAGCCGTTTGTTTCTTTCAGCACCGTGACATCAGCCGTGTTCACCGTGGGGGACAATGTGGTGTCAGGAAGTGACGATCGCACCGTCAAAGTGTGGGACTTGAAGAACATGAGATCTCCGATTGCTACCATCCGCACAGACTCAGCCGTTAATAGGTAAGAGCGGCAGGTTGGTGAGGTGTAAGACAGCTTCCTGAGACCGTTGTTTCTGAACAAGCAGAGACAACACCGTGCCTGTTTTAGAAAGTTCTGGCAAATTGAGAAACTTATGCCTGAACAGCAAGATATTCTGAAAGAATTAAGTAAAGTCAGACTTCCGAGTCAGGAATAGTATTGAAGATTTGGATAATATTTTCAGTTGGCTATGTACATTTAGTAATTGGTCTCTAGCTCCGTTTACACTATTTGCATTAAATGGCAACAAATAGCATTTGTTTATAATAAGTGCAGTAGATGCTATTTGTAAAATGTCTAACTGATGGGAGTGAAAATAGCCTTTGTCAACGTAGATGTCCGGCGTAAATATATGCTGTGGTATTTTTTTATAATTTAGTTTATTGACTGTCCTAATCTGCAGGATAAGTGTCTCAGCGAACCAAAGAATCATCGCTCTGCCACATGACAACAGGCAGGTCAGGCTGTTCGACATGAGCGGGGTCCGTCTGGCCCGTCTCCCACGGAGCAACAGACAGGTACGTTTCATCATTACCTTTCTTTTTTGCTCCATGTCTGTCAAGTTGTCTCACACTCTTTAACCACTAGGCAGTTCCTTGAATTGTTTTTGATTATTTTTCATTATATGGGCCATCTATGCAAAATAAATCTAGCTTTTTCTTTACGATTCCTGTTCAGGTGTCTCAAATTGTAGGTAACATCTTCTTATTATGCCATCTTCGGTCTTGCTTTCTTTTCAAGAACATATCCTTTTCACAACAAATATGGCAGTCCATTGTTAGCTGAAAATTTACTGAGCTAAAACATTTCAATAAAACAGTAATATAACGTTTTTATGAACAGAATAAATATATATTACTGTTGAAATGTTTTGGGTCATTTTTTTTTTTGGTTTCTTATGCTGACAAAGGCTGCATTTATTTGATTTAAAATGCAATATAACAATACTTTCAATAATAATAATTATTATAATTTAAAATAACTGTTTTCTACTGTAATGCATTTAAAATATGAATATTCAAATGTTAATGTTAAAATATTAGGGTGATGTGATCCTTCACAAATTATTCTAATAAGCTGATATGATGCTCAACATTTGTTTCTATCAATGTTGAAAACAGTTGTGCTGCTTCATATTTTTCATATTTTGTAAATATTTTTTGTACATTAATAGGAAATTCACAGGAGCATAATTTATTTGAAATAGACTTTTTTGTTGGTAATTTTATTTCTTTACTGTCACTTTTGAACAATTTAATGCATCATTGCTGAATAAAAGTATTAATTTCTTTAAAAAAAAAAAACTACTCTTAAAGTTTTGAATGGTAATGTATAATCAGATTTAGGAATATGTATTCCTATTTGAGGCTATATTTTTAGCAGATATTTTATTTTATTTTAGATTAATTTTATTTTAGAATTTAAAGTTAAAGGGGTCATATGATGCGATTTCAAGTTTTCCTTTCTCTTTGGAGTGTTACAAGCTGTTCGTTGTAATACATATTTATATTAATACATTTTTTTTGTTTAAACAGTGTCTATTGTAAATATATGTTTAAATATACATACATTTATAAATGATTTCAACCAATAAACAATCACTTTAATAAAATATCCTGTTTAAACCCCATATTATAATGATTTCCATTATTGTGCATCCAGCATATCCATAATGCATCAAGTATTTTGTAATTTACGTTTTCAATTGTTAGCTTAGCTACATGCCGAATCACTACAATCAACAGTAAACGTGGTTCTCTTGAGATGTGTGACGCATGAGTAGCTGTTAACAAAGTTGCTGCCCATGAAGAGCGTCTCAAATCAGTTTCTAGCAAGGGTCCATTTTAATATCGAACCATGAAGGCAGATGGCAGAAAGGCAGCTCATTAAGTTTTCAGCCACATCCCTTTAAATATTGCATTAGCATGTTCTGTTCCTTTTTATGTGTCCTGACAACCATGTTGCATTTCACACGCAGGGCCATCGGCGCATGGTGTGCTGCTCTGCCTGGAATGAGGAGAACCAAGCTTGTAATCTGTTCACCTGCGGCTTCGACCGCCAGGCCATCGGCTGGAACATCAACATCCCTGCCCTGCTCCAGGAGAAGTGACACGCTCACGGTTCAGTTTTACACATATACAAGTTTAACACGTCCGTCAGTGCCACACCTGCAGTAGATTTTAAAAGAACACATTCACGTTGTGTGTGATAAGACTCCGTTTTTCATCCGTTGGTGTCTGTGGTCGCTGGCCGGCGGTCATCATCCCGTCATGCCTTCTGACATGTGTGCAAAACTCAATTTCATGGATATTTTGCATATCTAGCCCTGCGCTGTCTGCTCTGAGGTCATATAGTGTGGTGAACTTCCTCCCAGTCTTGTTACCCAGTTTTTACATGTTTGCATGATTCAAACTGAGACTCGTCAATCCTGCGAGACCGGGACATGGCCTGCCGCTGTTACATTCAAGTAATTTTTCACTTTAGTGCTATTTTTGTTGTGCAATGTTCTTTGTAAAGATGACTTTTTATTTTACGTTAGCATTTTAGAGTTGTTTTTTTTGTATAGAGTTCTGCTTTGCTTTTTTATAGAGATGAGATGTGCAAAAGAAACGTAGAGCGCACTGCCTTTGTGAATGGAAATCAGCAATCACATTTACGTTTTACCTTGATGTTCTGATTGGAACCGCCATTCGAGCAGCCTGTCAGTATTGCCGCAGTCCATTTGCATGACAAACCCACCTCTCTTGTCAAATATGTGAAGCAAAATGCTGTATAATTGCTGTGTAATCTTGTTCACCCTATTGAAAACGACCTTTCTAAGTATTGAATGTTTATGAAGCCCTACGTGTGATGTTCACTTCCATTTCAAGGGCTTTCAAGTCGTGTAGAAGTAAATATTTGAATCGACGCATCTGAATTCAGAACAAGTTCACATGTTGTTCACTGCTGTAGTTTTTATATGAAAGAGTTGTTTGCGGCAGCAAGTTTTCGATATTGTAATATTCGTCTGTAATCATCAGACCAAATATCAATGCCTTGCTCAGTGTGATCTGCTGACACTTGAAAGGCTTTCTGATGTACTTTGGACTTCTTGTGATGTGTGAACCACTGTGCTTAGCCTTATCTATAGAAACCTCGATTGAATGACTTTCGACATTCATTAATAATCCTTAAATGGAAGCTCTTCCGTCAGTGTGTTACAGTTGGTATCGTTATTGCATTACTGGGCTTTCACCAGAACTACATTGGACTGCGCTAGGAGTCTTGGTGGAAAGTGTCAGTTCTTTTCACGTAGACAGTCTGTTAAATCTGTTAGGTCTAACAAAAAGATGTTTATGATGCGATGTATATCTGTGACGCCCATGTTTAATGGACTGTATTTGACTATAGAGGTGAAATGTACGCAGAGACGCATAGAAAACAGCTCATCTTTTATCCAGCTGTCTAACAACAATGCATATGACCCATCAGAACGTCCTTTAAAAATGAGTCTGATCTCCAACATTTTAGTTGTCTTTAACTTGCTATAATGTTCTGTATTGAGCCATTTCACTTTTTTATTTGAGAGCAACTTAATTTGCTGTATTGGAGACATATTGCATCATATACTAATAATAAAGAGATACAGAATCAAAATCATTCACTGCTGGGCTTCAGAATAAAGTGAAGATATCTTTCAACAATCACATTGTTTTGGTTGAATCTACGATTTAATTGTACTAATGGTAGTGTGTGCGCATCTATTTAAAAAAATATTTAAAAAAAAAAAAAATAAAAATAAAAATGCAGCACAGCAAACAGAATCAAGTCAGTGTAACACAACATTTTTGTTTTTATTCACATAAACATTCACTTATAACTCAAGTGCAATGTGCACACCTTAGCAGCATATGCTTTTGGGTTAAAATTTACATATTGAGAGAGATTTCAACAATCACATTGTTTTGGTTGAATCTACAATTTAATTGTACTAATGGTAGTGTGTGCGCATCTATTTAAAAAATTTTTTTTTTTTGAAAAAAATACAAATAAAAATGCAGCACAGCAAACAGAATCAAGTCAAAGTGTAACACAACATTTTTGTTTTTATTCACATAAACATTCACTTATAACTCAAGTGCAATGTGCACACCTTAGCAGCATATGCTTTTGGGTTAAAATTTACATATTGAGAGAGATCTTTTAGGTTATTCTTTTAATTTTCCTCTTTTTTTTTACAAATTTTTACAAAATGTACAGTCATTAGTACAATATTGCCATTCAATCATGCCTTACAACTGAATTACTTGAGATGTAGTTTTGTCTGGGGCTTTTCATGTTTGTTGTGATGAAAACGTTCAACTCAAACATAAAATGAATGTTGCGAAAAATGTTGTAATAAAAAGTGAAACACTGAAATAACCAGTACATAGAAGACACACGAGCATTAACAGTCTTTCCAATTACGTTAATTTCTAACTGGGTTGCCAGTGTGGTGGAAATAACTATGAAATGGATCCATCCATTCAACATCAAGTTTAACATTTTAGAAATTTTGCGGAATAGAATAAATCGAGATAACGGAAAGAGGAGAAAGGTAGGTAATGCTGGGTCACATGTTTGATCTGTCAGGTTTTACCATCTTTGTATTGATATTCTATTTCTATTAGTAGACAAAATGATCATTTAAGCTGGGATGGATTCATTATTAAAAACAAAAAAAATACACAACATCAGACATTAAACGGGTCAGAGAAAGATTTAAAAATATTTGCCACCACTAGGTGTCCCTGTAACATCTTGAGCTGTTTGTAAAGGGTGGATACATGACATCTCGGCAAAGGTTGACAAAGTGGCATTTGAAAATATATACTGAAAGCTTATGAAAAAACACGAGCTGTGATACTCAACAGCAGTAACAAATTATGCAATAACAATGAACTATGCAAAGAAAGGAATCAACAATATGTCGCCAGTCAATTCAAATAAAATAATCATGGAGTAATATGATTGTATTTGTATACAACAATGAACATCTTTCACAGACAAATAGTGATAGCCTGACACCACAGAAAAGTGTAAATCTATAGCAAAAAGACATGAATGAGATGCATCTGTAAATTAAATAAACGAATGCAGGAGAATCATTGGACAAACCTCGGGTAAAGAGCATGCTTTTCAAAGGTTGGGTCGGGCTTTACGAAGCAATTTGTAATGTGCTCGGTTTGTAAATGAATCCATTAACTACAAATTACTCCATAATCACGGATCTCTACTCGCACTCTACTACATTTTCATTTCGTCCTTTGTGTCTACATCAAACTGCCGACGTTTCCCTTTCTTTTCACACAGGTCTCTGCTCAGAACACCTTGTGTAAAGATACAGCGTGGACACAAAGAGAAACCAGTGGAGAAATGACATGTCACTGGTAAGCGGGATTGAGGTATTAAAGCAGCAAGCTGTACCTGCTAAAAAAACGTCAAGAGACCCGGGGTGCCGTAATGGCACCATTTACATTAGCTTGTCACCATTACCTCTAACCTGCACAACCAGAATGGAGCTGAATTAACCTGTCTTTGCAATGTCAACCCCTACTGTTTTTTCGTTCCCCCCCCATTTTGAAGTTGTACCAATGATCCAAAGGCAAAGGAGAGAGAGGAAAATGAGGGACGCATCACTCTGACAGGACCTCTAATTGGACAGCGTGTCGGAGCTCTTCAGGGGCAGGCCATCCGGAAACGGGCAGATAATGACAAGACGGCGGCTGCTTTTCACTTTGGCGAAGGTTAACACACATACACACGTTTGAATGACGGCTACAGGAGAGCCGTCAGTGGTGAGAGAGAGAGCGAGAGAGAGGTGACCATCTTTCCATCTGCTGTGTTGAGAGAAAATTGTCCCCGTTTCTCACATCCCCCCTTGTTGTCGATTCCGTCGCTGGTAACCCTTGTTCTGCCAAAAGTCTCGCGAAAGCTACATACATTGTTTCCCAGAAGAAAACACCCCCTAAGGCTAACCCTAACCTTCCACATTTTTGTTTTTTAAATATTGAGGGACAAATCAAAATTATTTTGCGATAATCGACATGTCATAATGGACTCTATGCACGATCGCTTCTGCATTTAGCCTCAATGGCCACTGCAACTTCCGGTGTAGTGCAGTGAATGGAAATTGAGAGAAAATTTAATCTTGGGAGTGTTACACAACAGGACAAAGCATTTTTGATATGATCTACCTTCACACTAAGGCCCAGTCCTCTTACCTCTTACCCCTTCCCCTTTGTTTCGTGTGTTCACGTGAAGGGGTAGGGGTGTCTCAATTCTCTTTTGGCAGGATGGATAGGGGTAGGGAGAAGGGCCAGATAGCCCTTCAAACAAAGATTTTTCAACGAAGGGGTATGATAAATTTCCCCGCATATGGCAATATGGCTGCCCAAGCAAGCAGAGAGACCCACAAAAGTAAGTATTTTTTGGCATATATAAGGATTAACAAATAATCATTTGTTTTATGTTGCATTCAATCTTGTGTTCATTTGTACGGTTATGTTCTCCGAAGAAACGTTTGCAAAAAATCGCTATGATAACAGTTCGCTAATATTATTGACTGCACGATAGTTCCACAACATATTTTATTGATACCCGCTGATTTGACGACATAAATACTAGTCCGGTGGCAGGTAACTTATCTTTTACCGCACGTCTGAGTTTGTGATAAACATCGGCGCAGTATTCTAGAACACTAACCGTACCCTTCCCTACAGAAGCCATGGAAGGCAAGGCACAAAATTCTTCCGTGCCTCATCTTTACCTCAGTAGCAACATTTTGCGAGAGTTTGACAGAACAAGGTTTACCACCTAGTTGCGACTCTTGTCATCGCCCTGTGGAGGCTTTTTTGGCAGTGGGATGTTGTTGACTTTAGGGGTGAGAAAGGGCTTCTGTGGTGACTGGTTGCAAGGTGAATGTGGTTTTGGTGACGAGGACAAGCTTCCGTACTCATACAGTCAGAGTGAAGTTTTCCTGCTCAGGAGGTTTTCTGACCCAGGTCCCTAATCCTGCTTCCTGTAGACCCTTCAACCATTGCAGCTTCACAGTCTGGTAGGTGCCGGCCGCCTGCTTCGCTTCACAGTACAGCGGCATACCACTCGCCCCACGGACCACCAGCTATAGAGAGAGGAAACAAAAGAAAGAATGAAGGAGAGAGGGATGGGACAGACACAAGAGATGGTGAGAGTGCAAAACAAAACGAATGAGCCGGCACAATCGTGGCGTTTGAGCAGCTGTGTAATCTCTCCATTTAAATTTCACAAGCAATTGAACATTCTCCGTGCTTTTGTGCGTTTCTTTGTCGCACACTCGCACACACGGAAAAACAGTGTGAGCAAAAAGAGGGAGCGGTGAACGGAGGGGCTCGGAGAAAAGAAAAGTTTCTTTGGAGATTAGCGTGTGTGCTCTTGCATCCCTGACTGTGAGCGCTGAGCGTTTGCCATGGGAGGCCGCTCAAGTGCTTTTCAAGATGATTACCATTTCCACACTCATTAGACTTTAACTGCCAGCATTTGGTACAGCAGCCGGCATCTCTCCCATACATTTACATGATGAGGGCCTAATTCTGCCCTATGCTTTTTTTAATCTCATAACAAATGGGAACTGTCTGTTGTGGCTAATAAAAACAGAATTATTCATCCTCAACTAGTTCTTTATATTGACCTGAGAAAATGCCACTGGAACTGGGCTGGTAATTGAAAGGTCCTAGATTTCAACTCTGCAAGGGTCCATTGATTGTGACCTTGATCGAGATCCCTAACCTTAAGTGAACTC